GCGTGTCAGAACTGGAATTTGGCCCTGAATTTCTTACCAAATTTTCCTGCAAAACTTTTCTGCTTCAAAGAGGATATGCCTCTATGTTGTAGCTCGACTAATTTGTGTGTTCAGCTGATTTGAGACGGAGATCATGCTCCACGGCCTGAGATGGGGGCACGTGAAGGCCAAAGGGTTGATATGCAGCCTGGGTGCTGTGCTTTATTATTCTTCTCCAGGGCACTGGGGAAGCCTCACTGTCTAGAGCTCAAGAAAGCATTTCCTTCCTCTCACTCTGGCAATGTGGCTTCTGCTCTGTCAGAGAATCCTGGGTTCCTTTCAGTAGGGACTTTGGGGCAGGAGGACCTGTAGTGGTCACACCATGTTACAATTGCTTGGTTACTTTGCCACCTCCCTTTTGGGCCATCAGTCTGCAAGGGCTGGCGATGGCTGTGTGTCCATCACAGTATCCTCAGTGTCAGCCGTTCTGCCTTGCTTGTCTTAGGTGCTCGGTGTTGACCAAGCAGGGGACGTCCTGTTTGTTTCTGGGCCCTGAGCACACCACACAGGAGAAGCCAACTGAGACTTGGGCTGCAGAGGGCAGGCAGAGGCCTTGTGGCTGAGCTGTGTCCTGGCACCCCTTCCTGCCCCCCTGCTCCACCTCCTGCATCTGCCCTGTTACAGGTTCGAGACAGAGCACTCACTGCACCAGCTGGTGGAGGCTGACGTCTGTGGCCTGCGCAGGGTGCTGGACAACCTCACCCTGGCCAAGTGTGACCTGGAGGCGCAGCTGGAGTCCCTGAAGGAAGAGCTGCTGTGCCTCAAGAAGAGCCACGAGCAGGTGAGGGACACTTGGTATGATGCCATGAGACATTCTGGGGTGAGCTCAGGCTCTTCTAGGGAGAAGAGCAAGGCTTCCTCCTGCGGTAGGTGGAAGCTGCGAAATGCGCACTGGTGTTTGGTGGGGGGCTGCTCTTCATGCAGAGCCTCTGAAACTGCTGGGCTGGCATGGGCACCGTTCATCTTTGGAGGGGCACAGGGAAATGGCTAGGGAGGACAACTGGGGGCCTGGGGCTCTGGGTGCGGGGCAGTAGGGGCTCTGCAAGTGCTTACCTCCCACTGTGTCCACAGGAGGCCCAGACTCTGAGGAGTCAGCTGGGCGACAAGCTCCGGATTGAACTGGATACTGAGCCCACTGTGGATCTGAGCCGGGTGCTGGGTGAGATGAGATGTCAGTATGAGACTATGGTGGAGACCAACCGGCAGGACGTGGAGCAGTGGTTCCAAGCCCAGGTGAGGGTGGGCTACCCAGCAGGGGGGACCTGGCTTCTGTCTGGGCAGGGAGGTGACGTGTACTTATGCCACAGTCTGAGGGCATCAGCCTGCAGGCCATGTCCTGCTCCGAAGAGCTGCAGTGCTGCCAGTCGGAGATCCTGGAGCTGAGGCGCTCGGTGAACACCCTGGAGGTGGAGCGCCAGGCCCAGCATGCGCTGGTGAGTCCCTCTGCACACGTGGATGCTACGCTGGGCTCCATTTCCCACTAGAGGTTCCACCGGAGTCAGTACAGCCCTCACTTAAACACCGACCAGGGACACACAGAACTTTGGAAGAGCTTTCCCATAGTCATGGGTGCCGAGTGAGGGAACATTAACCTGGTGAGTGGGCTTTGCAAAGGGAATCTTGCAGGTCTGTGAGGACAGGCACAGCTTAGTGCTAGTTCTCCCTGCTGGTGGCTGCCAGAGGGAGCAAAGGCTCTCTGGACCCAGCAATGTCTTGGGGTGTCACAGCTTTACTGAAGAGGTTCAAGGCAGGGATTTTAACCCACATCTGCCCTTTCTTGGCACTGCAGAAGGACTGCCTGCAGAACTCCCTGTGTGAAGCCGAGGCCCGCTACGGCACAGAGCTGGCCCAGATGCAGAGCCTCATCAGCAACGTGGAAGAGCAGCTGTCCGAGATCCGGGCCGACCTGGAGCGGCAGAACCAGGAGTACCAGGTGCTGCTGGACATCAAGGCCCGGCTGGAGGACGAGATCAACACGTACCGGAAACTTCTGGAGAGCGAGGACTGCAAGTAGGTGCCTTGTGGTTGTCTGTATCAATACCACTTGCAAAAGTAGAGACCTTTTATTGGGAATGAACTACAGGAGCCCTGGAGGCCAGCCAGCGGGGGCATTGCAGACCTCATCTTTGGGGATAAAGTTGCTACTCAATAGTTCTGGTGAGTTTACAGCTGGCTGGACGCAGAGGTGGTGTGCAGGAGTTTCCAGCTGATGACAATTGTTTTGTGCTGTGTACTCCCAATTGCTGGTCACTTCCTTGGAGAGCTAAAATACTGAGCTTTTAGTGCATATAGGTTTCACTAAGGTCTCTCTGGAAGAAGTGTTTCAGTAACAGCCAGGGGTGTGTATGCCTACTCTTTCATCTTACGTCCACAACTGCACCCCGGGAAAGGGGAACACAGCCCTTTAAGCAATAAAGAACACGATCAGGGATGTGGCTGAGGCCTGGCTAATTCTTGCCCGGCTGGCTTTTCTGCCTTTCTCTCTGCTGGGTTCCTTCCCCAGGGGAGGTGATCCAAGCTCTGGCCCCAGCTCCACTCGTGGAACCTGGGCAGGTGACTGCTTTTCTCAGCTTGGAGGAATATCTAAGGTCTAGAATTCTCATTCAGGCTCAAATCCTAAGTTGTCTATGTGCTTCTTTCACTCACTTCTCACGCCACTGTTTCAATCTCTGTTTTTCTGTCCGCAGGCTTCCCTGCAACCCCTGTGCGACCCCAGCCTTCAACACTCCCTGTCCAGCCCCTGCAGCCCGTTCCCTCCGCTCATTGACTGGAGGCTGACAAGCAGGTCTTGGGAGATGGGAAGCATCTTCAGCTCCCTGGGCCCCAGCTCTGCTGCCCTGTGTGACCCTGCTCCAGCCAGGGAAGAGATGGGGTAGGGGAGAAGGGGCTCTCTGTGGGTAGATATCCCAGTCCTGCCCTCAGGCCCTGCTCTGGAGTTTGTGCTTCCTCCCTTCAGGCTGTCCTGAGTGCTCTGTCTTTCCTGTTGCTACCTGTTCTCTCTGAGATGGGGCAGGCAATGCTATTTTTATTTTGCTAATAAATTTCCCCTCTGCAGTATACAGAGCCCAGGGCCCGCAGGTCTGTTTGTCCATCCCACGCTGAGAGCCTGCTGGGCGCTCCTCGTCCTGGAAGCCACCCTTTCCTGTGGAAGCAAGGGCTGTGCTTCACTCCCTAGAAGGGTTCCAGGGAGATGGCAGAGCCAGTGGAGACTGGGTTAAAAATGAGACTGCAGCAACCTGACACAGAGGAGCAACACCCAGCCCTTGACCTGACCGAGCCTATTTGGAACCAGGTTCACAGAGCTTTTAAAATACGGACGCTAAGTAAAATTTCTCCTTTATCTGGATGAAGCTACCTGGTCCTCATGCAAAGGGAAGAGCTCAAGTCAGTGCTCTGCTGGGTCCCCCAGAAGTCCCTACTTAAGTCAAGCTGTTGTGATGGCCCATGATGAGCGCGGCTCTGTGCCGAGCTCTGCGGACTTGTGACACAGGTCCCCACAACAACTCCACAAAGAAGCAACAATGGGTGTTACTGTTCTCAGCTGGTGGCCGAGTCTAGACTTGAACCACAAGCCTCCTTGAACCAGATCCAAAGCTCATTCTTTGGAAGCTTTGAAAGAGAAAAAATTAAATATGAGGAGGTTTAGGGCAGCGGTTCTCAAAATGTGGTCCTCCAACCAGTGGTGTTGGCATCAGTAGGGAACTTCTGGGGAAAGACAATCCTTGAGTGCCCCTGCTAGCCTTTCTGAATCAGTATTCTGTTTTACCAAGCCTTCCAGGTGATTCTTACATAGGCTGAAGTTTGGGAACAAGTGGGTTAGGTGATACAGTAGGGAGTGAGCCCCTGCCTGACCAGAACCGTCTGGCCTTGCTCTCCTCGTAAGTCCCATGGCTGAGGAATCCCTCATACCTTTGAGACAGTGCCTTTTCCTGGCTCATTGCAAAATGTGAAAAGGTTAAATGATGGCAATTGCTGTATCTATCAGACTATTAGTTCAGAAAGGTTCAAGCAAGCTGACTCCTCACCCACCTCTCAGACAAGCTCCACTAGTGAGTTCTCTGGCAGCTGCCCAGCTTCGAATTTGCAGGCCATAGACACTTGACCCAGAATCTCTAAGTTAAATTAAATAGAGGTTTGGGGACAACAGGTGAGGACCAGCACCTCTCCAGAATTCAGTATCACAGATGACCAGAGAGAAGCAGTGAGCTCCCCATCATTGGAGGCATATAAGCAGAGGCTTCACCACCACCTGGTGGGGATGTTGAGAGGCTCACCCAGGCATCTGATGGGGCTGGTGTGACAGTTGTGATGGCTGAGGAGGGTCTTCTAGCCCCCCAACTCTGTGGTCCCCTGAGTTCTAAGTCTTATTTGTCAGTGAAATCACAAATGTTAAAGGGGAGCCACTAAACCTAAGCTAGGAGCCACTTTTTGTCCCCTGTCTGTTCTGTGACCTCTCTGAATTGCAGTACCTTGGTGAGAAATTTACAAATACAGCTGATTGTGGTTTAATCCAGCCCATTCTGGTATGGGGCTGCGATGCATGAGTGACCACAGTCCCAAGCCCCAAGGGTGAAGAGGGCTTGAGGGGATCTGCTTTGTCTCTACTCTTGAGCCCAAAGAGTAGCCACTGTCCATGTGGACAGGACTAATGTGCTTGGGTGGCATCAGGACCATCACAAGAAGCTCAGGAAGCTCAAAGCTGACAGGGGCTGCCACACCCTCCCTTCTTCTCTGGTGTTTTCTTTTCTTTTTCCTGAGTGGTGGAGGTGTTGGGCCCAGGTGACACACCCCTTAGGCACCTACCCAAGAGTAGGTCTCAATAAAAAAGAGTGATCTTGTTTAGTCTTAATTTAGCACCTGGCCAGTCACCCTTACCTCCTCCCTTTGTACTTAAATATCTTCTTTCATGCAACAAGTTCAAAGCTGTCTAACAAAATAAACCCACTTATTCTTGCACCATGATGGCGTGGGCAAGCATTGTTCTTCCCATTTCAGGAAGAGAGAAGAGAAGGTGAGTCATTCAGTGGTTGAGAGATTCTTTTGGGGACATGAAATGAGTCAGAGGGGCCCCAGGGTGGTTGACCTGTGTTTCTTAAGTTCACATCCAATGCCTGACTGTAATTTGTAATTTGATGAGACATTGGTGTGTGTGTGTGTGTGAGAAGTGGTTTGGGCTCCTGGGAAAAAAATGCTGGGCAGAGGGGATTTTTTTATGTGCTATGCTCTGTGTGTGTGTGTGTGTGTGTGTGTGTGTGTGCATGCAAGCATGCTTGAGAGAGTGAAGAGCTTTCCTGGAAACCAAACAGCCCATCATTACCACCATGCCCACCACCAGAACTGTTATCATCACCATCACGTATCTTTTTCATTGCCATCACTGTCGTCAGTGTACATCTACCGAGCTCTTACTATTAACCAGGTACTGATCTGAATTATAGATATGTTTCTATACACTGAATCCTTACAGCAACCCTGGAAAGTCAGTGCTATTGTTTCTGCATTTCGCAGATGAAGAGCCAAGTCTCAGAGAGGTTAAGTAACCCACTCAAGGTCACTCAGCTGCTGGGTGGTGAAGTCAAGATTCGGATCCTGGCAGTCTGCGTTCAGCAGCTCCGCTCTTCACCACCATGCTTCACAGAGGCCAGGTCTCAGATTTTGCCATCACCAGGATGACAGAATCACAATGACTCAATTGTTTTAATTCCTTTCCTTGAAGGAAATGAGAATGTTGATGGTAGAGGAATGGTTTCTGAGTATTTAGGCCACAAAGTGGGGTGCACGAAACGAAAGTTCTGTAGTACCACACGGTAACTTGAAGCTCGGGCACTCTGCAGTTTCAATGACTAAGAATCACCAGAGAAACTCAATCCACCCCCTGCCATCGCTCAAACCACTGTGCCTACTGAGGAAGAGGAGAAGGGAAAGAGTCAGATTCTCTTACAGATGTTCCCCGTTCACCACTGACAAGAGCACCTTCGTATGTGTTGTCCAGGTTGAGCTCTCCAACCTTGAGAGGGGCAGAAGGGGCATCAACAGTCCCATGTGCTCTGGGAGGGACTCAGGCGTGGGGAGCTGCAGTGACCCCCTCCACGGCCTCTCAGCACAGAGGGGCAGCTCCAGCCTCTCAAGGCCTGTCATCCTGCTTCTTGTCTGTGGCACTTTCCCCATATCCAACTGCCAGGCGCCTTGCAGGAGGTACATGTGGATAAAATGTCACATTCAGTCCACTCTCAAGCACTGCATGGATTGTGGAGGGAAAGGCTTGCTAGGGTCTGGGCTGCCCCTAAGGATGACCTTTCCAGGGCTGTCTCCCAACCTGCAGAGGCCTCCCCGGCCAACCTCAACATTCCAGGCTGAGCTTCTGGCCTTTTGCTGTTTCCTGGCCCCCCTCAGAGGAGGGTCCCTCTTGATGCTGGTAATTGTACCTAAGCCTCCATTGCCTCCCTTTCCCCTCACTCCCCTTGGTTGTTGGACCTCCTATATAACCTGCCTCGGGGTTCACATTAGCCTCCGAAGCCCCCCGGCCCCAGGAGGTCTCTCTGCTTGCGAGGGTGGCGTAGCTGCGTCTGCCCACTGGCAGGTGCACGTGGTGCCTCGTTTCCCTCCCCTAGTCTCTTTCCCTTTTCCACGTCCTCTCTCGCATTGGCTTGAGTTACCATTTCTCTGCCCCAAACCACATCCCTGGAAGGGCTGCTCACATGGCAGGTGCCAAAAGCCTCTTTCACTTGCTCTGAAACTCATCTCGACACCCATGGATCCCATGTTGACGTCACAGAACTGAAGCAATGGGCCACCCCCACCGCCTATCTTGCGGTCTCCAAAGCAACAAGGACAAAATATCAAAATACCTAATCTTGAGTGGCACCTGTGTCCCATATACCGAGGGTGGTGGGTTTGAACCTGGCCCCGGCCAAACTGCAACAAAAAATAGCCAGGTGTTGTGGTGGGCACCTGTGGTCCCACTTACTCGGGAGGCTCTAGGCAAGAGCCTAGAGGGTGCTGCGAGCTGTGACGCTACGGCACACTACTGAGGGGGACAAAGTGAGACTCTGTCTCTTAAACAAGCAAACAAACAAACAAACAAAAAACACCCCTAATCTCTAGAAACCTAATCTCTAAGAAAAGATTCTTAAAGGGACAGGATTCTAAATGAGATCAGTTCTTTGAATCCTGTCTATGAGTCACCTAGAGAGTGGGGCACAAATAAATCTCCTGCAGGACACAGGTTAATCATCTGAAATGGCTTCAGCCCTCCCCCTTGTGGCTGGGAATCGTGGACTGGATTGAAATAGCTGGACTGCGGTTTGGGGCAGGATTTTGGGTATGAGAAGAAGCGGGGAAAGGGCAGAGGAGAAGGAACTTTTGTGGGGTACAGGTCCTAATTTTATTACATTATGCTAGCTGTGGCCCTGTCTGCTCAGCAGCTCTGGCAGCTGCTGGAAGGCAGGGACATGCCACACTGCCCTCTGCACCATGTCCTTTGCCCTGGTACTGTGTCAAGCACATAGCGGATATCTGATTGCTGCCTCAATGTCTTGTGTATTATTTTCTAATCACATTGTATTACATACAATCCTATTTCCAAATGTCCATCTCACACTTAAATACACATTATTTCATCTCCCCACTTTCTGGCTATTTCTCTTATATTTTGAGAACCCATCATGTCCTGAATCTTCATAAAAAGACAATCCTTTGCCAGCAGTATGATTCTTCTGGCTCAGGTTATTCCTATGCCTACCATGGAGAAACCAGCTAATCAGTGAATTTTGAACTAAATTGAACTAAACAAAGGACATGGATGTGAAAATCTAATGACAGTTTCTCTTTGAATGAATATTCTTTGCAAATATTCCAATTATTAGGAAATCAAAAGAGTACATGAAGTCTACCCCCAACCTACCTAAGGTCATAGGGAACTTACAATCCTGGGGTCCCATTTACTCCACTAACTCAAGAATGAAATTCACTCCAGTTCACTCCAGCCTGTTAAAATTTTGAAAACCTTGCAAGAAAGAGGCTAAATTTACGAGAGATAGTGGCATTGTGTTTACTTACCAGCCAGTCTGTCTGCAGCCTCCATCCTGAATTCTTGCACCATTTTACCTTCTGCAGGGCAGCCAGCAGGGGAACAGGAATCTCTAGGAGTAACTGGCAGATAACAGAGGTCACCTGTTCTCTCTTGCACCTTCCACGTGGCTGCCGATTGGCCATGACCTGCAGCCAGTGTAGGTCTGACGATCCCTGCTCCTCCTTTCCTTTTTCTAACCCATAGTCCATACTCATTCAGGAATGGGTAGCATTGCTCCTTTCTGACTCTACACTGCCCGGGTGTAGACAGCAGCATAGTTCTTAGTCACAAACAAATCTCAGGATCATTGGTGCAATGCTGGCGTTCTGCACAGCTTGGAGCAATGTTACTTCCTTCAGAGGCCTCAGGAGCTATGGACCCACACCTGTAGATCTTTTCTGAGTCATCTCCGTTTAAATCTTGCAGGATACTCAGCAGGGTGGCCGACATTTCTGTCCAGCAGTTTAGTTCGTCTTGGGTACTTCTCAGCTTTGCCCTGTCCAGGTTAGCCCTTTTGCAGATGGGCTACCTTTGTCTGATTTGTGTGGCCCTGCGCGGTTCTGAGAGTTTCCTCCAGCTTTCCTCCTTGCCTCTTCTTCTTATTCTTACCTCTCCTTGTCTTCATCTCTTTCCATTCCTCTGATCTCTCTGCCATGTATGGAAATTCCGTTTTTGATTTTTTTGTCAGTCTAATCCTTGGGTCTTCTCATACTTTAAACATAAACATTCTCCTCTGACTTAAGCCTTCACACGGCTAGATCAGCCAATTCGTAGATAAGACCAAAGAGCTTGGAGAATGCTGTTGGCATTTAGTTTGTGCTCAGGGTAAAACTTCCCTGGGTGGGGAAGAAGAAAGGGCTGAGTAGAAATAGCTCCTTGCCGGAAAGCCAGTGCTTCAGAGCAGGCTGATAAGAATTAGGAAGCAGGAGGCCTGTGCATTTATCAGTCGGATGCACGAGCCCTTCCATTCATCTCCAGCCTGGATGAAATGAGACAGAAGCTGATGGTGACTGCCACTGCCTACCCAGCGTCCTTCCTCTGGGCAGTCTCAGTGGTACCTGCCTCCCGACCCACTTATTTCTCCCCATTTAATTGTCTCGGAGGAAAACAAAGAAATTTTGATTTTATTATAAGTCTAGGGCTTCTTTGTAGTGCTGTGGTGCTTTTCATCAGAATGGCATTATAATAAGCGGTGATGACGGTCCTGGAGAGGGTAGATGAGGGACCTTTTATCTAAGGCTCCAGCAGAATGCCAGAAGAATGCGACCATGAAAGCTCAGTGGAGGGAAGGGCTCCAAAAAGTTGTCAATAAAACTGCAGCTCTGGCTGGCAGCCAAAGCCATGGTGGAGGTTAGGGCGCTGCCTCCTGGGATGCAGGTGGTACCTGGCGGTGTCTATAATTATGCAACTTTTGTGGATCAGAACTTTGGCCTCCTCTTCTGCAGATCTGGTGCTTTCTTCACCTCCTGGATCAACCCCAAAGGACTCCAGTCTGCCTTGCAAAACCCCATGCTTATGCTGTGCTCAGCGTTTTTTTTTCTGGATGCCCCAGTCCTTGGATTCAATTATGCAACTCCAGAGGCCTCCTTGGGTGCCTTTATAGCTTTGGTTCTTAGAGCAGACAGCATACAAACCAGAAGGGATGGGAGGCCCAGGAAACAATATATTTGCTTATCTCCCTGCTGTATCCATTTTACTTAGAGAATTGGGCAAAATGTTAGAAAGTTAAACTAGGAATTTAAAGGTGATTTTTAATGTCAAAGGCAACATAGATATATTATGGATTATAAGGTCATGAAGTTTTAAGATCAACTTCAAGTGACTTCTTGCCTGCAGA